CGGGGGGGGGCGGCCCCCCCGAGTGCGAAGCGGGGTGCGGTTTTGTCCCCCTCCAGGTCAACTAGCAGCTTGTTGATAGCCCCCCGAGAATTTGCCCCGCGGTCTAGCTGCCCGAGCCTCGAAATTACGCGGAGCACTCAAGCGGCTTGCGAGCCGCCGGGCTGTAGTTCATTAGCTCCGCTTAATTTGCCATTTTCAATCAGATCTTTTCCCAAATAGCTCCTGAGCAGGCCGAACAACCTAAGGGAATCGGCGCCAGCGGGAAATGAGCTGTGGAAAGTGAGCAGGGATCCGCAGTGGTCGAAGGGTGACTTGGGCAGCGCCTGTGCGCAAGCCGCGGGCGAGCTGGGTGCTTGCCGAAGGCGGGCGGGCCGGCGAGCTCCCCCGGGACGGCGCGGGTCTCCAAACCTGCTCCTGCCCATTTAGAGGCACCGGCGCCCGCGCCCCGTCTCGTCCGCACCAGTGGCTAAACGAGTAGCAAAAGCTACTGGAGTTTTTGCCCGCTCATGGTGAAATAAAAAACCTTTTTGTACTTGTGGGTAGTGCAGGTTTAAAAGTGGGTTTTGAATTCTGCTCCTGGTGCGGGACAACGCAAGGGACGCGGGCTGGGAAGCTGGCTTTGTGCTTGGGCATCTATCGACTCGTGTAGCAATGGGCAGGAGTGTCAAAACCTAGCAGGCCAGGCAGAGGCCGTGGCATCGGATACGCGTGCTTACCACTGCTGGTAGCACGGAGAGACGGTTCGCGTGGCTTTGGACTCGGTTCTTCAGCCTGCGTTGGGTAGGCAGGGCTTTATATGCAATGAAAATGAAATCAGCTGAGCTGGGCAGTGAGCTGTCTTCAGAAAGGAACTTTATTTCCAACGGAGTGTGCTGTCAATTCAAAATATATGCTGGGGCAATCCAAAATGAAATCTCTCTCTCGAAAAATACTGTGCAGCGCAAAGCACATCTTCTAAGCACTGCAAGCAGCAGGAGAGGGACTATGCATACTGAATATGGTGACCTAAGGTGTCTTCAGTGAGCAGTGTCAAGTTGTGCAACACCTGACATACTTTTGTTGTTTCACAGGCAAAGTAATAGTTCTGTCATTCGATCAAATTCCCCAACAACAACATCTCAGATTATGGCCAGAAAGAAAAGAAGAGGGGTACGTTGCATTTAATTCTTTTCCCGTGTGACAGTTTGCATGTGTGCTGTGATTTTGCCCTTCAACATTTTTTATAAACTTCATGTGTTTTGTTTTTTTGGGAATAGATTATAGAGAAAAGGCGCCGTGATCGTATAAATAACAGTTTATCAGAGCTGAGGCGGCTTGTGCCAACTGCTTTTGAAAAACAAGTAAGCCCTTTTTTTTTTTTTTTTAAATTCTGTATCTCATCTGGCAATGTTAGTTCTCTTGTAAAACTCATTAAAATAATATTGTATGTGTCCTGATCTGGCACAAAGCAGGCATTTCAATAAAATGCTTTCTTGTGGCAAAACTATTAGAAACATAATTCATTATAAGGCTGAAAAACATTTCCATTCTTTGGCTTGTTTTTCCCTTAAGGGTAACTGTGTTCATGTTGCCTCTGTTCTTTCGATGAATTCCAGTAGTGGTTTTGTTAAAAATGTGCTTTACTCCATATTTAAAAAAAAAAAAAAACAAACCCAGCACAGCTCCCCCAAACCTGTATGTCAATTAGCCTTCTGTCTAAATCTTTAAATATAATCTCCTTCGCCCCTACTTTAAGAAACCTTTGGTTTTTGATCTATAATTTCAGTTGCAAACTAATCAATCCAGTTTCCTGCAAAGGGAACAGACAGTCTGGATTATTCACGTTTCAAAATGACTCTTTAGAACCAGGGCATTAGGAGAGGGAATAGGCCCATGCCATGTGAGCTAGTGAAGCCAGTGATACGTTCAAAGACTTGCAGTGAGCAAGTATTCAAGTAGGAAGGCTGGAAGGACCCAACTAACTTCGGTTCAGGTACTTGGTCATGAAATTACAGACCAAAAGCTTAGAACGCAATCTGTCCTGTAAAAAAGGGCATTTTGTTTATGCCATTCAAATTAAATTATTTATTTACTTTTCCATATCTCGATTTTTATTTTTTGGGCTTTGATTCAATATTTAGCCTTGTTCCTCTTTTACTGGAGGCATCCGAAGATCTATGGGTATGCGCAATTGGCACTATGTTTCAATAAAGAGGTACCGACTGAAAATAAAGAATCTGACTTCCTTGTAATAGTAAAATAAAAAACAGAAAGTAAAATTTGAGAGCAGGATTGCGACATGCTGAATGTCAGTGGTAACTGCGTGGCAAGCACCGCACCGTATTAGGCCTGTTACATCCCTGGTCTGAGCAAAAGCTAAAAAGAAATTTTAAATATTGTAAGCACGGTGAGAGCATCACTTGCGTCACCTGTAATACGCTTGTAATAACTGGTAGTTGTAACTGGGCCCTTCCGTCGGTTCTGGCCAAATGGAGTGACAGAGGTATTTTCAGCTAGATAAACAGGGGCAAGAGACAACAGTTGTTTGTCCCGTTTTATTGTTTACTTCTTGAAAACCACAAACATTATAAAACAAGTCCTACAGAGCCTTTGGAAATTACCCAGCGCCATGCAGTTTTTAGCTATTAGTCACTCTCACTGAGACGGCTTGTGCTGTGTCTATGGAAAAGATGAAGTCTGAGAAAAGTACAGGATGTAGTCACGTGTAAAACGGGGAATTCTGACCAAAAATTTGCACGCGCACCAACCTTTGTATGAGGAAAGCGCCAAAAGCAATAAGCGGATAGAAGAAAATGTATTGGCGTAAAAATGAGCGCGCGCTGTGTTTTGTTCAGAAAGCCCCACCATTTTTCTGCAATATCCCCAGGACAAAGTCATCAGTCCTTTTCCAGCTCCTTGACATTCAGCTCACTGAAGTTTCCGAGCTGGAGGTTTAGTTTCGCTTCCGCCTCCCTTCCTCCCTCCCCAAATCACAGCTCTGCTCTCCAGAGTCCCTCGCACAGATTAGTGCTGGCAGAGTGGGGCTGCGGAGGAGGGCGTAAGCCTTACCTAACTCGCACATGTGCAACCTGGGCGAAGCCGGCTGAGGCTGTAGGATGGCCGACGGCAGTGAGGTGGCCTGGATGATAAGTAAGAGAAAAATTTGGCTTGCAGGATGCGATCCGCCGATGGCTGAAGCTTTTGCAGCCCTGGTTTTAACTGATGCCAAGGAATGATTTCTTGCACTGGAATAACATTTGCGTGGTAAACTCTGTCATCTGGGCTTGCTCCAGGTATTCAAGGGAATGCTACTATGCCAAATAGTTATATTTATAGGTTAATACTACCTTTCGAGTTGCATTTTATACTTTTCCAGCACTTATTGTAGCTCTGTGAGCCACCCTCAGTAACAGAAAAGATTTTTACTGACAGAGAAGCTGTACTCTTTGACAGTGTTTAGCTTCATGTCACTGAAAACTAGGCCTCTCACTAACTTAAAATACCGTGGACTGTGTGGTTGCTTTTTCAGTTGAGAATGAGAATAGAATATTCAGCAGCCAAATGACATGTCGAAAATTAATAGGCGATTAAGAAAAAGGGATACTTCCCAGTGTGTGTCCACAGGGACACCTACTGGTAAAAGCAGAAAAAAAAAAGTTGGAGCGGGGTCTTCATCGATAGCTGTGCAGACCTGTCCTGCCAGCTCTCCATTTGTGTTTGTTGTTAAAAAGAAAGTCCAGAAAGTGATGTATTTCTCTCATTTCATGCAGATGTGATCGCTAGGCTATCTTCAAGGCCAGAGCTACGCTGAGCTATAGCCTTAATAAAGCAAAATTGTACTGCTGCTGCTTGTATCGCTAGACAGGAGACAGCATTAGTCCTTAGACAAAGTCTGGCAGGCAGATGCTCACGAAAGAATTAAGCTGAGAATGTCCTAATGATAGGAGAAATTGAAACCACAAGGCTGAGCTCAGTGGAAAGTATATAAAATTAAAGTTTCTCGTACTTGTAAGCCTTTATTTATATGAGTCTCTTATGTCAAAGGGATCTGCCAAATTAGAAAAAGCGGAAATACTGCAAATGACAGTGGATCATCTGAAGATGCTGCAGGCAACGGGAGGTAAAGGTAAGGAGCCGACAGTTTCTTTTCTAATATTTGGGGAAATCTCAGCAAAAAAAGTGCTTTGAGGAGCTGTGATAGGCGTTTCCAGATTAAAGCAGTGGAAATCAATGCTAATGGCAGGATTGAACTCGTGGGAAAGAGCTACTGGGACAAAAGAAGCACTTGACCCTGAGCTTGTGTTTGCTTTCATAACACTGTGGGAGTAAAGGCTTCATTCACAGGCAGCCCAGTCAGAGATTTGTTTGGGGTTTCCAAAGAGGACTGAAATCTGCACAGGGAGACAAAACAAATACACAAACACCAAACATAAACAGGAGGTTTGTGGCAACAATTGTGTAGCACAAAACCAATGCTAAACCTCATTATCCAGCAGCTATACTGAAGGAAGTGGAGGGAGAGGAACTTTCGTTATTGTTTATGTATTTTCTTTGTTCTGGAAAGACTCTTAAATGCCAGGTTAGAGCGTCTCGTTCACCAGAACAAAACCCAGTCTCGCTCTATGCAGCTCCAGGTATCTGATAAAGCAGACAGGCAGACGGCTAGCAGCGCTCTCCGCACCCATATTTATATGCTATATTTGTGTGTCAGAGGTCTGGGTAGCTCCCTGTTAGTGGGTGCTGGCGTGACGCAGGGGCTGCGCTGGCTGACCCACTAGATCAGCCGGCTGCCGGGAGTCGAGCGTACCTCGCCTGTGCAAGCTGACAGTCCCGAGGCTGGAGGCCAAATGATTTCAGCCACCCACGAGGTGTTCTGTATCGTCATGATTTTGGAACTTATTTGGAGTGAAAAACTTGCTGGCCTCCTGTAAGCACGGTCCCACGTCCCGCGCCATCGACTGTGATTATGGTTCAAATTGTTGCAAGGGAAGCCAGCCGGTTTTTCATTCACCTGTTCTGCCATATAGGTAAAGCTAGAAAAGAGGTGGCTGCTGCTCCCTCTCTTCCTTTTTTGATTAAGCTCAAAAGTTTTTAGCCCGTGACTGAATTACAGCTTCTCTCTGTACCTTGCAGTGATTACAGAATTCAATTTAGAATCGGTGCATGCTTAACAACAGATGGTTATAGGAAAGCATGTCGAAGGCTGGTGTTCTGTTATCTGTGAAAATTAACACTGAGCTTACATACGTATTGTCTAGGTGTTAAGAGGCTACAAGTCCATTTATGCTTAAAATTTATGGGTAGCTTGTTCTATAAGAGGTGAAAGGGATTTTATTGCCCTTCGTATAACCGACACAGCTCTTGATTCCTCAGAAAATGTGCAAAATTAAATAAAAAAAAATGTTAATTTTTGCATCTAAAAGCATTCTTTACAGAGCACTATTTAGTTGGTAAAGCTATGCTCTTGAAAGTTACGAAACGCCAGAAGTGATCATGCTTGTGCAATTTGAATTCAGATCCTCTGTGTGCGCGCGTGATGGTGCCGTCCTTAATTGCACGGTTGCGTGCTGGCTTTCCGCAAGCTCTGTCTCACTTGGTGCGCGGGGCGATCGACGCTCGGCTGCTGAGAGAAGCGGTGGCTGTTTCGCTTCATCCTCCCCGCGCGACGTGCAGCTCGGCTGTCCCAGCCTGACCCCTGCTTCACGCTGCGCATCGTTCTTCTTAAGAGCTGCAGCAGCTCCCACCTCGCTGATGTCTGCACTGACAGTGGAAGGGCCAGGAGGTCAACCCTCTTTCCCCTGCCTCCCTGCCTAAAAAGTGTATGTGGGAGATTATTTTATAACTGGGTCAGGTTGGGTGGCCCAGCCAGTGGGGCAGGGGACGAAGTGCCTGGGATGGGAGCTGCTGGGCAGAGAGAGGTGTCGGCAGAGCCCCGGCCTCCGGCTGCGGCCGGACAAGCTGGATTTTGTTAGCAGCCCCAAGTCCTGCGGTCTCTGCCTTGGTCCACCGCCACCGCCGTGCCTCTCCCTGTGCCGGGCTGACACTGTGGCTGCCGGAGGGCGGTTCGGGGAAGGACGAAGCATCGGGGTGCGGGGAGAGGCGATGCCAGCTTACACCCGCGTGAGCCCGCTGCCACCGGGTGGGCAACGGCAGCTGCCGTCACGCCATACAGAGCCCCGGTTGTTACTCGCGGTCCGTAGCGGGTGGGACATCAATATAATACCCAACTGCTTCACAAGTACTATGGCTTTATCGTCTCCTTCTGACCCAGAGATAAGAGTAATCTCACTGCATGGATTAAGAAACTTTAAGAAAAAGAGGTTTGCGAGTTAGTACCGGGCAAAGTTTAAGCCTGTGTTTCCTGCTTGCTTAATGTTTTACTTTGCAACCTAAGTAACAGCTTTAAATATAATTTCTTAGGGTGTTTTTGAGGCAGACGTTTGTTTTATTTGCAACTGCAGTTATTCCCACTTTGTAACTCATCGTCCGAGCCAGAAACTTTTTTGGATCAGCAAAAAAATGAATTCCATCATTTTTCCTATGGACAAAAGCTATTATCGCAGCAGGGAGAAATGGGTCCTGATACCCTTATGCTCCCCTGCTTTGAGGGCCGGGGAGAGCTCGTCCTCTTCTTCCTCACGCAGAAATGGAGGACACCCCCGATGGGGAATGCCCGGGGCTAGGAAAGCCAGGGTGGAGTCAGCCGCTGCTCAGCGTGCCGAGCCCGAGGTGGGCACGGCGGAAGAAAACCCGACGTGGCTCCTGTCCCTTCTCTCCTTTTCGGAGCTGCCGAGGCAAGCAGGCTGCCGCCTCTAAGGTCCTGCACGGACTCCGTGTTTCCGCCGCCCTGACGCAGGTGCGGGCAATGGTCTCCTGTTCACATTGAGTTATTATTTTGGCCTGGGGCCAGGGCTTTTTGCTGACTGTGCAAGCAAGCACAGGGGAGGAGTAATTTGTCAACAGTGAGTAGCTCGCTGGGACCTTGGTGTTGTTTTATTGCAGCTTCACTGCAAATTTAGCTTGGTTGACTGACACCTGGGTCAGCAACATGAGTTAATATAGCTCAAATGACTTAGCCGGTGTCCTGTGTGCAGAGCAGGTGGGTTACCAGCATAGCTGAAGGAAAAGCGAGACTTCCCATTTGCTACAAAATGCCGGCGTGTATGCGTGTGGGTGGTGGTGAAAGATGTTCTTGGGTTTTGGAAAGAAAAAAGAATCAACATTTTTAAGTCTGTCTCAGAAGGGGGAAGCCAGCAAAGGGGAAACCTGGAAAGATAACCATCAAAATCAAAACACAATGGAGCCTGGGAGTCCCAGCTCTCATCTCCCCTCTGTTTTCATGTCTCGGCCACCATAGGAGACTGAGAGGGAGCCAGGATCACCGGGGCTTTGGGACGGCTCGTCACAGAGCCAGCAGCTCAGACTCAGGGGAAGCTGGTGACAACCACATCCCCCACGTCTCCTCCGGTCCGGAGGGAAGGAGGCCGGGAAGCCCTGGCTTGAGCCGTGCGTTCTCAGGAGTCCCAGGCTGGCTGACTCACGGCCAGAGCCGGGAGGCAGCTTTGGCTGCCCGTCAGCCTCTCTGAAGCCGCCGGAGGTCCTGGAGCCTCCGGCATTGAGGCAGTCCCCATGCCAGGCTGGCTGGCACCCGCACAGGTGCCCTGCGAGCTCGCCGCTGCTGGCCTGCCTGGCATTTGTTTCTCGGGAGTTCACTCAAACCGCAGCGTTTCCACAGATCACTTGGTCCTGGCAGGAAAAAAAAAGTGCAAGGAGTCAGTGCTTGCCGAGACGAGTCCTCGACCCCTCGTGCTCACCGATCTGCTGGCCGAGATGGGGTTTCTCTTGGGTTTCGTGCAGCCTCAGATGAGCAAGGCAGCCTGTGTCAAAATCGCTGTCGTAATTTGGCAAGAAGGGCTATATAGCAGGCAGGGGATTTGGGGTGACGTCTATAAATGTGCCCAAGTTAATTCTATAATGCGGGCGTGCAGCAACAGAAAGGCTCTTTTCTTGCTTGAAAGTTGATAAAAGCGAGAACAACTATCTAAGGCGCTAGCATTTTTCAGAAACACTAAGATTATTTCATGCCAGAGAGTGCAAGGCCTAATGCAGGTATTGCTGCCACATTCCTCCATAGTAAGGGCACTTGATCTTTGTATACTAGCACACATCATAGTCACACATACCTAAGCATTTTCACTGAAAACAAGAGGAAAAACCACCATGCCAGCTTGGGAGGGGATAGGATGTTATTCCCCCAAGGAGACTACTTTTAAACTAAAATAGGAAAATTCCAAAAACTGGAATAGGATTTTGTAGTTGACGAGCTGCAACTTAAGCACTAGATTTGATGCTAGATCCCTTTAGAAAGGGAATATCTTTTCATGTGCATTTAATAAGACAATTTTTTTTTTTTCAATGCTTTTTTGTCCCAAGCCTGTGGAGCTCTAGTTGCTGTTTGTTGAAATACCTCATGGGCCATATGACTGTCAGTCTTCCATCTCCAAATAAGCAATGGCATTACATAAAACGTTTTCTCAGTAAAGCTTTTTATTGTGTGTGTGCAGAGTCATGACAAGATGTTTTTAGTTTGTAGTTAAATAACACCGTATGTCATATTGTCCCAATGACTCTGTGAAGTAGATGGGACCCTGGCAGCAGCTACAACAACTATCTCGCAATGTCGAGAAATAGTTTGAGGGCATTACTAGGAACGCCAGGGTAGAAAAGAAAAGGCAGGGTAGTACATGCAAGCTCTCTGATCTCCAGCCTGTTTCTTTGTGCGGATAAACGTCTGGTTCACACACACACACACACACACACGCACGCGCGCTTGCGCGCAGGGTCAATACTGCACTGCCGCAGCTTGCTGAGGAATTTCAGGAGAGGCATCGTATATCTTTTTAAGTGTCACGAGTACTTATGGACTTAATTCCTTTCATTTGTATATTGTCTGCAAAAACAACTGCAGCCTATTGCATTACAGGGATGGTGACACGAATCATTTACGGATCAGAGAACAAACTTTTCGCGTTGCAAATCTTAACCTGTAAATGGGCGATGTGGTGGCTGAGCAGGGACCGGCTTAGCCGCGTCACCTTAACGCCGGCTGGGAAGCCGGCTCGAAACTCAATGCATCTTTTGCCCTCCCCTTGCAGGTTATTTTGACGCTCATTCCCTGGCCATGGATTTCATGAGCATCGGCTTCCGGGAGTGCTTGACAGAAGTGGCGAGGTACCTGACGTCGGTGGAAGGTCTCGATACATCTGACCCCTTGCGCGTTAGACTCGTGTCTCACCTGAGCACCTGTGCCTCTCAGAGGGAAGCGGCCGCCATGACCTCCTCCATGGCCCACCACCACCACCACCCCTTGCACCCTCACCACTGGGCAGCCGCCTTTCACCACCTCCCGGCCGCTCTGCTGCAGCCGAACGGACTCCATGGCTCCGAGGCCGCCCCGTGCAGACTCTCCTCGGACGTGCCCCCCCACGGCTCCGCCTTGCTCACGGCCACCTTCGCCCACGCCGACGCCGCCCTCAGAGTCCCCTCCGCTGGCAGTGTCGCTCCCTGCGTCCCCCCTCTCTCTACCTCCCTCTTGTCCCTCTCGGCTACCCGTCCCCCTCCCCTCCCCCCCCCCCCCGGCGGCCCCCTGCCCCTGGGGCTGCGGCAACAGCCATCACCCCCCCGTTGGCCGTATCAGCCACCGCCAGCCCTCAGCAGGCTGGCAGCGGGGGCAGCACTAAACCCTACCGGCCCTGGGGGACTGAAGTTGGAGCCTTTTAGGTCCCCCCTCTCCCTTCCCGGTCCGGCTCCCTCCTCTCCCTCAGCGCATGCACGTGTGCACACCCACACCCCCACGTGCACACCCACACCCCCACACGAGCCTCCGGGACTCGGCGTGTCCTTCCCGCTCAGCCCGGCCGAGGGGCCGCCTTCACCCAAAGGGCCTGAGAGGTGCCGGCAAGCCCGCCGAGGAATGGCACAGCTATCCTCGCCCCGGGCGTCGGAGGGGACACGGGATGGTATCTTCTTCTTCTCGGTTTGTTTTGCTGGAGGCACCTTGAGGGAGCAGCCATGGCTTTCAGAAACAGCGTGACCATATCGGCATGTAGAGGTTTCCTGGGAAATACGTAGACGCTAGAACTAATAATTCTCCAGCTATGCATCCTTGTTTGGCAGAGAGGTGAGGGATCGCACCTACTGGTTCTCCCCAAGCTAGAAAAAGAGTTTGAATTTCATAAGTGCCTGACACTGAAAAAATAATAATAAAAAAACTATATATGCGTGTGTTCTGCTAAAACAAATAACATTGCACAGGTATGGAAATGATATGGGAGAGAGGAAATCCTGCGTTCAGCTTCAGGACTCGGATATCTTTCCAGGGAAGAGCGTGCTCTTGAAGGGGAGAGGTTTCTTTAGCCAAAAGATCGCCGAGGAAGAATGTTCAATTTGACAGGCCTAGTTCTCGCTTCCTTAGTTCACTTTCTTTGTACAGACTTGCCAAATTGTGACATCTAGCATAGCATTGGTAAAAGCAATTATCTTATCAGTGCTGGGATTAATGAACGTTTCAGCACTGCCTGTGAGCCTTGAGGCACCCTTTTTTACGGCTTAAATATGGTGCTAGCTCGTATCGGCACAAACAGTGAATTTGTCATGCACCCAGAAGTAACCACCTATTTAAAGTGTGCACACTTGGATACGGTTGATTCATGCCAATACAAGAGACTGTGTTGCAAGAGTTCAGATTAACTTATTTAGCTGTATATGGACATTTACTTTTAGCCGATTCTGTGCAAGATCCCTCATCTTTTCACTATCAGCTACAGGGACAACGATCACTCTGGGTATGAATGAAGTTACGGTAGGGACAATTTTTAAATTGGCTATTAACACGCCAACATTGTAATGTGGGTTTGATTCCAAACCAAAATGAATGTATTAAAGGGTATGTCAGTAAATTATTTTGTCAATACCCAGACAACTAGTGCTGCATAAAATGGTTTGCTTTCATTTTTTATTACAGTGACTTAAAATAACCTAAGTATTTTAATACATCCAGTCAAGAACTAGAGATTTTATGTAAAAAAAAAAAAAAAGTAAAAATAAAACACAGCATGTATTATTATGCACTTGATTTCTCTGCTGTGTGGAGAAAGCAATAAGCATTGAGAATGTTAAACATTATGCAAAATATACTTTAAAATATTTGTTTTAAAAATACTGTACCTAGTTGGTCTTTTATGCATTACTTTGTTAACCTTTTTTCTATGCAAAAGTCTTTACATATCACTAATTAAACGAAGTCCTTTTTGACTGCATTTTATGGATGATCTGTCGCAGTTTTTGTTTGCTTTTGAGGAAGACTCGTGGAGTCGAAGTTAGTTTTCTGCCACTGGTAACAAGCCTGTCGGCTGCTCCATCCTCTTCTGCTCCCCCTGCTCAGCCGGGGAGCCCGCCCCATACAGCGTGCTCTGAAACAGGTAGAAAAAAGCAGTCAGTAAAGCAGCATTGGTTTTCAGGCTTGTAAACTGGTTCTGCATTGACGGTACGCTTAACGATACAAACCCATCTGGCCATCCCAGAGAGCCCCCAGAATTGTGGGGTTTCTAGGTTCAGCCTTCCTTCAGATCCTCACTAAGGGCCTCGCTGTGTTTAGAAGGGGAAAATTTCAACCCAATGACATTATTAAATATCTGGATTGAGAGAAGGTGTTTTTTCCCTCCAGTTCTGGTCTTCTAATTTAGCAGTTCTCACCAAGGCAAGGGTTTGTTATTGTTTCACCTTAGATCTGCAAAGCCTGTCTGTAGAAGGCGTGTAAAGCTCTGTCCGCAAGGATAAGCACAGTGTCTTACATGTCCAAAAGACACTAAAAGATTATTATGCCCAAATAACAGCTGACAAGACTGAGGCACAGAAATGGGGTGACCACCCTTCAGCCAGACAGTGACTTCATCCGTTGCCAAAACGAAGCCTCAGCTCCGTGACTCGCTCCCCATCATCCCTTTCTCCCAAAGGTTAAACATGTAACCCATCCCTGCATCAGCTGGTCTCCAGCACCCAGGCCAGGAGGGACTGTGATTTGCCTGAACAGCCTGCTGCCCCATGGAGAAAATGGACAAAAGAGGGGGAAGAAGGCTTGCTACCCCTGCGCTGTAAATCATCCTTGATATTCTTTGAAGTTTTGTTGTTTGACATTTTTTGATTCAGGACACAAATGCTGTACTGCTTGCTGTACTGGCATGTTTAGCAGCATCCAGTTGAGGTACCATTCACTTTCCCTATGCGAAGTTTCAAGAATAAAGATGACATTAGTGAACTGGCAAGTAGATAAAAAGTGGGCTTTATTTACATGAAAAAGAGCAGTTGCAACCCTACTTGACTTTAAGCTGTTAGCTATTAACCTGCCCTCTAAGAGCCTGGCAGGAGGTCTCCCATGCATCATATCATGTTAAAAATGGGCAGCCACTGACTTGGTTCCACCTAAGGGCTTCAACCTAATTGATGTGCTGGAAATCATTACAATTTGTTGCCCCAAATGCAACATTTTGCCTCATTCTAAAGAAAGAAATTTTGAAAAAGTATTTCTGAAACTGATTAGAGGAAAGCGCAGTTATGTTAGCATCCTGAAACAATGCATCACGGATGGATTTGTGCAGCCTGTGTGTTTGGGCTTATCCCATTTTCACTCCTGCAAAACAGGCCAAATTCATGTATGCGGAGTTGCTGATGTTTCCTCTATTTCTTGTTCTGTTTTGTTGTCTTTTTCTTTGTTTTGTTTTGTTTTTTTTTAACCTGAATCACCTGAAGGGACCAGCACATAAGGCAGGAGCTCAGCCTTCATACCTGTTTAGTCCTGAGCTTCTCTTTGGAATGTTACCTCTGTGGCAGCGGATGAAGATTTCTCAATTGAGAAATTAATGAAGAAGCAGCATATTTTACATGTGCTGTTTGAAAGACATGAGACGGTAATAGCTTCTGATGGCTTCGGTTGTAGCTGTGCTAACAGGTCAGAGCTGAAGGAGTCTACGCAATTTTTAAAATGGAGCAAGGGAAAGCTGTTTCCTTGGCATAACCAAGACCCAAAAGGTAGGACGTGCACAACCTTACTTCGGCCCTTTTCTATCTTTATACTGCATTCAATGACGAATGGACGCAGAGGAAGATGAACATTTGTAATTCATATAATTTAGGACTAGATCATACCACAAGAAAGCAAGAAAACAAATCAGGCTGCTTGCTCAACAGTAAGCAGTTGGCTTTGACTAACTTTTCAAGGGGTGGCTTTGCAACCTTAAATTCCAGTTATCAAGAGGATCAAAGGAAGTTATGCAATTTCCTAGAATGTTTTTCTTAAGAGGAAAAAGCTAAAATCCAATTTTGTCACTCAGCATTAGCAGGCTCGAAACCTTAGCCCTCAGCAGTGCAAATAAAAAGCACTTGGGCTGCTGTAGCTGCGGGACTAACTGTGTCGCACAGCACCCTGAGAAGATTATTACCCTAGAGAGGAGGCGGGCGACTGAGAGGCGGTGCTGCCTGCCCTCCCTTTGCTCTGATTGCAAGCGGAGGAAATCCGGCATTAGGTATTGCCCCAGAAGAAAAACTGGCTACTGTGGCTGAGGGCTGAATGCACATATTCAAAGCAGAATAATTGCATCCTGGCTGTGACTACATCTGCCTGAACAGCTGCCAGGAGGCGCCCGTTCATGCTGCTGCCTCCTTAGTGTGAGCCTTCAAAATGTTTGTTTGCAGCTAGTCTGAAAGATGATACTACAATCGGGATGTCGTGAGATGAGTAAAGGGCATTTACCGAAGCCTAGGACATGGATATTGACAAATTCTTAGGAATATTGTAAATGAGAAGTTTCTTCTTCATAATAGCAAATAAGCGTCATAAGGTCATAATAGGTCATAAGCGTCTTTTCATCAGAAGATATTGCATCAGAAAATACCACTGAAGTGTGAAGTGGACTGTTACCAGCTCTGTAGTTACCAGTCTCATTAGTCATCTTCTTCTATAGGCACAGATAGCCTGAGATCACACAAATGACGAGGACCTGAGGGATTTAATAGTCACAGGTAGTTTTGTCCAACTTCAAGAAAAGATGAAGAAATTGGTATAGCTTCATTTGCAAGCTTCATGTGCCCAGCCTCATTTGTGTGAGGATACTGCCTGAACCTGAGTGTAATTTTACTCAACGCAGAAATTTTTACTTGGGCTCTGTTCCTCTGCTTCACCATTTTACACAGCAAAGACTTGCGTTTTGGAAGCTAATGTGTAAACGACTCAAAAGGGATGACTGCAGCAATGCATCTGATCCTGACCAGAAATGATAAGCAGAGGAGCACCAGGGATCTCAACGTGAGGGTAAACCTAAGCTTTTCTAATTTACAAATGAAACAAAAGTTTGACAGATAAGTTATCTGAAAAGAGGCGTTTTGGTTTGGTTTTTTTTTTGGGGGGGGGGGTTTATTTTCCTCTGGTAATTGCTACTACTGGAAGTTGTAAAGTGCTATTAATGTGTAAATACAATCACTTAGTCAGCATTAAGTTGCCTAAATATTTGCCACATCCTAAGCTGGGCTCCAACTATCACTCTGGAAGGTGCAGGTCTCCCTTGTGTCCTCTGTCATATCTGCCAGCCCCGTCCAGATGCCTGGGAAACCCAAGGTTGCTTACGTGGCACTAAATGCCTATGGCCAGGCAACCGAATTTCTCCTTCTCTATCTCGCACCATCTGTGGAGAGAGAGGTTTTGAAGCTTAATAATATTTTCACGTGAT